AAAATATATAAATATACTTTTATTTTTGCCCTCCCCCGAAAATAAGCCCTAGCGCGTATTTTGGACCAAAAAAAGAAAGTAAGACTGTGTCTTATTTTCGGAAAAAGACGGTAATGGTGATGTTAATTTTACCTTCAATGGGAATCCTATCACCTGTCACTGTTTGTAAAGTCACACAAGGTGGAGTCCAGAGCAACATCTCGGTCAATTGTCGAGCTACATCTGTTCTCACGATGGTTACATTTGCTCCCGTATCTATGATCACTTTACAAGGATGCTTATTCCCGTATCCTTTAACGAACAGTCCGTTATCTCTGCCGCTCATTGAAGAGATTTGAAGAACTTTCAGAGGAGCTGCATCTTTGCCTGGCAACCTCCACCCCATGAGATTGCCGCATTTTAGTTTCCCTGGTTTTGTTTCGTGGGAGCTCTCTTCAAGTTTTGATTCACGTGACACTTCCTTCCAATTCGCAGTTCCAGCACTTGACGATTTTCTTCCCAGTATTGTTTTTATTAGGTCTTCTTAACGTCTCCCGAATTTCTCTTATTTCTTTTTTTAGTTTTGAGATATCAAAATTTGTATCTTCTATTTGAGATGCTCTAATAGGATGGCGATCTCTTCGAGTCGCTTGTTGAGCCGATTCGAACTACATAGCGTAAACCAAGGCAGATTTCAGGTCTTTCAGATCCGCCGATCTGAGAGCTTTCTGAATTTTCGCATCCTTAACGGCATCGATGAAATGCATCAAGGCCAGATTTTCTCAGACATCAGGTAGACAGTCCGGATATGCTTGATGCGCCAACCTCTCGATGTCAGTCGCCAGTTCTTGAAGGCTTTCTGTGATTTTCTGCTGGAGAGATTTCAACTAAAGACGGCTACAGTCCTTTGCGCACTTTTCCCTGAATCTCATTTCCAGTGCATTTGAGAGGGCGTTGAAGTTTAAAATCTGGTCTTCGGAGAGGACCCCTACGATATCTGCAGCATCCCTTCGGAGTGACGCAGCCAACTGCGAAGCCTTCATGTAGGAGTTCCACTTGTTATTTTCCGCCACGATGGAAAACTGGGTCTTATATACACTCCATGATGATTTTCCATCATATGTGCTTGGTTTGATTACCGTATGAGAGTACATTGGGGGAACCTTGAAATCTTCAGCTTCGTTCTTGGCCCCAGTCCGGTTTTCTTTCAAAACATCTATTTCTTTCTGGAATTTTCTCAATTTTTCTTCAAATCGTTCTTCTACGGCTGCTATTTTTGCTCCAGTATCCTATCTAAGCTCCACGATCTCACTTTTAACCTTTTCTTGTTCCACTGCCATCTGTTCGAATTTTTCTTGCATCTTTTCTTGAATGGCTTTTATTTTGCTCTTGATCTTAGCCTTTATCTCCTCCTGTCCGGATTTCATCTCTTCGTGTCAGGCTTTCATCTCTTTCATTTCGACTTTCCCCTCTTCCTGTCCAGCTTTCATCTCTTTCATTTCAGCTTTCATCTCTTTCATTTCGGCTTTCATCTCTTCCTGTCCGGCTTTTATCTCGGCTAAGAAGTCCATCAAAAGTGTTTGTTTCCTCTCCCATGGCTTTCCTCTGCAGACAAGTCTCTGGCATTCACTCGCAAATCTCACTTCTGACACCATTTGGCGCATTATTTTCCTTCTTCACGTTTGTACGGGGTTCGTAGATTTGGAGTGAATAATGATGACACTTGATGAAGTATCGAAACACACTTTTATTTACCAGTATTAATCAGATAGCTCCAAAATCACTTTTACAGTTCTCGAACTGTTATAAACAAGCTGACACATTCAGCGACACAGCCTTCTCACTGTCAGGCAATAGCGGTGGAGACAGCTTCACCACAAAGTACCTGAGTACAGCTCCCAACTCTGCTCGGTCGTTCTCGGAACTCCACGTACTCTCAAGACTCTCCACGCATTGCACTTGACGATACATAAGAGTATAACTCTCGACTCAGCACAGTCTAAGACAAAACTCGACACTGCACTAATTTGCGATGCACTAAAAGACTCTCTTGATGCACTCGACTACCAACTCGGCGCTAGACTTCGAGACACTCACTCAATGATTATCAGCTCGCTAGACGAGGCACACACACTCTGACTGCAGACCAGCAGAGTTTATATAGCTTTCGGCTTGTGTTCGAGAACATTCTGGGCTAAACCGGTAAGAATTCGTTCCAGAAGGTTCTCCATCCGTCCATGGTATATCGCCAATTTTGTTGCCAAATGGGTGATTTCTCGCCAAACGTGGCAACCCTAAAACTGCTTTGCGGGGAAGCCATGTTACCGCACCTGTACATTTCGTCACAATATTACTAAAATTCAATAAAAATTATTGTCATATGTTTGCATTTTATTCCCTTATCGACACTTTTAGCAAGCTTTGAAAACATTCTAAATTAATAAAGAAAATAAATGATACAAGCAAAATTTTTAACAAAAGACAAAAACTACACATAAAATAATCACCAAATCTTTCTGAATATTGCCCAATATAATAGTTCCATCTTACAAATAAAAATGCCAGTGAAAGGGATGCCAAAACTATTGGACTTTCACACCACATAAGATGGCAGAGATAATTAGGAACTTGTAAAAATTTTACAACTCGGCCAGTTTTCAATATATAATCACAAAATTAACAGAGAAATAAATAAAATCAGGTTTTTCTAGATGATGCTTCATCAAAAAAAGAAAACATACTCCATAATATATGCAAAACTACAGGCAATTGATCACTGTGAATATTTTTATTAAAAGTTGTGGCTTATTGCTCCTTTCCAAAAGTTAAAATAAAAAAGCAACATGGAAATTATTTTCTATCCTTTATGTATGTTACAAAATCCAATATTTGCCTATACTTCAGATTAAAAATAATGTTGTTCTGGAACAGAATAATTTAAGGTTAATTATGGACAAGGAGAGCTGAAAAGCAGAACCATATACACTCTTCTGCAAAAATATCGAAGCCTCAAGAAGGATTTTTGTAATCGTGACGAAATTTGGTATGCAAAAACATCTTGATCGAACATGCAAATGATCAAAGTTTCAAGGCAAATGAACAGGAATTGCGATCATAGCGTACATTTCTAGCGTACAATTCGCAAAGTATAAAACCAGTAACAAATGTGGAAAATTTATCTTTTTTTGTTGCTGCCATTGTAATTCCGTAAAGAAGAAACTAAAGATGCCATTACGATGATATTGAACACCTTACAGACAACTAAACGACTTTGAACATAGTCACATTGTAGGGTTGCATGAAGCTGAGTGGTCATACCGAGCAATAGGCCGCCACCTGCAGCGTGCAAAGATGTTGGCAGCAATGGTTGCTACAAGGAAATTGTCGATGAAATGAAGGCTCTGGATCACAAATGTGAGGCAAGATAGGATGATTGTTCACCAGGCCCGAACCGTCCCAAGGGTATCATTGTCGACTATTTAATGCACCACAGCCACAACTATACAACCCGTGGTACCGTCCACCATCTCACGGCGCTTGTCTGAAGAGGGGTTACGTTCACAGAGGCCTTTTAAGACATTTGCCTTTGAACCCACAACATCGGCGCAGCCGTCTGGAGTGGTGTCGAAGCTAATCATCATGGCTGCCATCAGACTGGCATCTTATAGTGTTCAGCGATGAATCCCGCTAAACTCTTGAAGTAAATGACCACCATGTTTGTGTCTGGAGAGGACGGAGTGAGCAGTAACAATTAGCCTTTGTTTTACAAAGGCACACAGCCATAACCCCTGGTATGATGGTGTGGGGCGCTATTTCTTATAACAGCAGGTCATCTTTAGTCATCCTCCTTACATCTTTAATAGCTCAATAATATGCTGATATCATCCTGCGGCCAGTTGCATTGCTCTTTATGGTACATCATCCTGGGGCCATTTTCCAAAAAGATAATGCCAGATCACATACTGCTCACATATCTCTGGACTGTCTCCATGCAGTTGTTACTCTTCCTTGGCCAGCAAGGTCACCAGACCTTTCACCAATCAAGCACGTCTAGGGCATGGTAGGCCACCAGATTCAGGCACCACAAAATATCACAGATCTGGAGCAGCAACTGATGAATGCCTGGCAGAATGTATCCCAGAATGACATTAGGAACCTCTACCACTCCTTGCCTCAACGCGAATTCACGCATGCATTGCCACCAGGGGCGGTTCGACTAGCTACTAATTTGAACACTCAATGGGTGATTGTGAGCTGTGAACAGATACTATGACCTTGATTCTTTAATCATTTTATTACCTGTGTATGAGCTATACACATATTCCAATTTCATCAAAAACAACATCCTTCATGGTTCTTCGATTTTTTTGTAAAACAATGTATTTAGCATTCTAAGCTAAAATACCATCTCAAATACATAATTAAAAACTCTCCATCTTCTTAAAAAAACTCCATACATTTCTGCGTCAGTTGTATAGCTGTACACAGCAAATTCATCAAAATACAAATTTTTTATAAGTTTATGGACTTTGGGATCACTTATTTGAAACAAATTGTACAGAAGGCAAAATTAATATCAAGAGGGAAACTTTTCAATACTGTTTACCTTATAAATAAAGTTTACTTTATTATGTTATATATATATATATATATTATACTTCAATACTGTTTACCTTATCTATATTTTTTATTATAACTGTTTCTTTTATTTAATGTAAGCAAAGTTTCTAGTTCTTTTCTAAAGTAGACATCAACTCCTCCTGAAAATTAACCACTCAGTGTACTTTTACATTACAGATCACTTTAAATTAATACCACACTTTTGAGAAACATGATTACTGAAATTAGAATCAAAGAATGCATACTAAGTGCCTCAAATATCATGAAGTATTTTTAATATGAAACTCAGAACCATTATTTTCAAACTCAAACAAAAATTTAACAAAAAAATTTTTCTAAATATTTAATATAATTATTTTTTTCATAAAATATGAAAACAAAAATATTTAAAATATCCTTACTTTAGATCCATTAGCTTTTTCTTCAATAATTCTTCTGATGATATCTATTATGAAAATTAGTAAGCTATATCCAATAAACCATGGAATTACTTGATAAATACTCATTGTATCCCTATTTGCTCTGTGACGAGGATATGGAAATTTCTGCATCAGCAACTAGGAATTAAGTTTTAAAAATCAGAATACTAACATACTGTGTTACTACACCATTAAAAAATTAATATTAATTTAGATTAAGGATGAAAGATTGTCAGGTTTAATAATCATTAAATTCAATATTAGTGAGTGGATTGCTTTCAATAAGAAAAATCTTAGAACATTTTAATATATTTTGTTTTTTTTTTGTCACACACATGTGACAAACACTTTACTGAGGTGCTGGAGACAACCTACAACACATTTTGGTTTTAACCACGAATATACTTACACTGGTCACTATTCTCATGCATTATATTAAATATGACTCATGGCAACGTCGGCTACCTGTGGCTGCATTTTTTTTTAAATGGGCAAGATATGAAAACATCATAATAGCAATTTCTAAATATTAGCTACCAAGATATCTCATTATTTTTTTCCTATTTTAGCCATTTATTAGTGTAGCAATATATGTGTTAATAGGCAATGGAATGCGATACTTTAAGCATAGTACCCCATATTCTCAATGCCATATTGGTGCATTTAAGATTATTTCTAATTATTATATAAAAGATCTCCCATAAAGCTTGTTTCATTTTTTATGAGTAGTATTTTTTCCCCTTTTTTCTGTTGGATTCAGGCCTGAATACCCTTTCAAAAACAGGATAAACATGAAATAAAAATAAATGCAGAAAAGAGATAATTATATTTATTGCATTTTACATTACTAAAAAAAAATACTTGCAAATAATATAAAAAGTAATAGTAGTTAATAAACACTGCATCTAAACAAAAAGTCATTTATGTGTAAAAGTTATTTAAAAAAATGTAAATGTACATGTAAAAGTCATATAAAAGTTATTTACATATTTTATTGAGAGTCCAATAACACTCAATAAGATACATAAATAAATCATATACACAATAACAAAAACAATGCAGGATCCAGGAAAAAGTGTCCTAATATAAATATTAGGATACCTTCTTCCTGGCATGAACAAAGACTGCATAGCCATTACAGTTTCATGTAAAACTTTAATTTTAAGAAGTGTTATTGTAACACAATCTTTCTTTCAAAATATTTTCTTGAAGAAATAGAGTAGCCACTTGATCATCTCTTGGCAAATACCAAATTATAAAATCCGCAGCTGCAAATTTTTTTAGAAAAACAGTAACTACACTTAGATGAAAAATAGGCAGTACAAGTAACATTAAATGAAAAATAGGCAGTACAAGTAACATTAAATGAAAAATAGGCAGTACAAGCAACAGTTAAAAAGATAATTAGTGACAGGAATGAAGCTAGACTAAACTGCTGATGAGAAAATATGGTAAAACAAAACAGAAAATTATATGGAAAAGATCCAGTTCTACAATATTAAAATTATTTTGCCTTGATGACTTTTCAAAATCCAAAGATCATGATTTACTTAACAGTTGCGACAGTCAAAAGCCATAAACCATTAAAAATCTCAAAGATCTTCGGGTGGCACAAGACATAATCCAAACTCAAAAAAACTTGCTTGTTTTTATAACTATTTGAGACTGGAATGACCAGTAACAAGCCCATAGTGTTTGCAGCTTGAAAAGATGACCATACCCAATGTGCTCACAATGTCCCTTCCCTCATTTCATTGTTGAGAACACTGTGTAAACTATCAACCGAGATGTCGCTAGATGCTTAACTACTCATCTAATTCAAAGAGCCAACACAAATCATAATTACTTGCACTGCCTTCCCTAGATAAAATACACCGTTTTAGAGAAGAATTGCAAATAGACACTATTTTTGTAAAACAGATTTCTTGAGACAGGTACAGAATTAATATAAGGAACTCATTTCTTTTTTTAAGTACCTATACCTTGAGTAAACATGAACTTGCCTTTTAGAAATTCAACAAGCTTTTTTTATTAGTATTTCTCTTTGCTTGTTTGTTATTATAGTGAATCACTACAGAACTCTGCAGTTCGTCCACTTTTATTTTCATTATGTTGGAACATATGTCAAAGTTTAGACTATTCTTGGACTTGTGGCCAATGTGCAGTGTTGAGGTTATGTGTGATACCAAGTGCAATTCTCTGAGGTTATTTTTTGAAAAAACAGATTGCTACCTATGTGGGAAGAACAGCTCAAAAACATTTCAGCAGGATTTCTCAAAAGAGCCCTTTTGATTTTTTAACCCTTTGATGGTTGTGAGATTATGCACTTTTTGCACGTGCAATATCTGTCAGTCATAAATCTGTAATGGGAACTGGTTCATTTGTGCCCACTATGGCATGTAACTGGAATATGAGTTCAGCTCATTCATGACCATCAAAGAGTTAATGAATTTTAAAAATGCAAATGGCCCTGCATGCATAGTTGATAGATGTAAAGAAACACAAACAAAAATTTCTCTCCAAAGTTAACCACGAGTTTGTTACTTTTTGGTTAGTGTGCAGAGAACCAGAAAGTACCTAGTTTTGTTTACTTTTATGACCAAAAAATTTCCGTTTTCTTATTTTGGCTAGCATTTCCTAGTCACTTTCTTTTACAGCTACCTTTTCTTTTAAACTTTTTTTTGGGGCAAGCATTTTAAATGCATTTTGCTATCAATACCCTTGTCAACAGAGTATCAGCAGTATCTTCAATAATTTTTTTAATCATATTATTAAGCTTCAGTATTTTTATCTTCAGTTTACCAGAATTTGATCTTAAGGATAATTACTAAAAGTTAATCAAATTTGAAACTGAAAACTACACAACTTAAAAATAAACATGATTTACCACAATACCTAAGAAAATACACCACAATATCAAGGAGAGAAATGAATTTGTTTTGGTACTGTTCAAACAGTAATTTGTTATATGTTAATAGTTATACAGATAGAAAAATGAAAAATTTATATAAATATTACAAAACACGATAAATCATTTTCATGGTAAGAATTAAGACTATAGAACATCTATAAAATAGATAAATATAATTCAGATATGATTAACTACTATTTTTAACAAAATTAACTTTATTAATACAGAAAGAACTGGATATATAACTCTCGGTAAATTTCCTGATTTATTTAGAACAAAAAATATCTTAGCTTGATACCAAATTAGATTTTTATTATTATAATTATTATTTTCAACTGAATATTTACAGATTTGATCAGATTAGCAATAATCATCTCAGAGAATAATACTGTAATTACTAATACTGATGTTTCCTTATGTTCCCCAAAATTCTGATAAATTTTTTAAGATGACTGCCTAAGGCAGTAAGTTGTAATAAGAGATTCGATTGCATAAGATACTTCAAAAACATTAATATATACATACCTTATATTCCAACTTTTTTCCTTCGACCTTCTGATTGATAAATGTTTCCTCTACAGCAGTTTGCCATCCCAAAAAAAAAGTCTGTTCATAATCTATAAAAGAAAACAGAGATTTATTCTTTACTTGTTTATTTATTTGTTACAGGTCCATCAGTGACCAAGTGGTTACAAAATACTGAATACTGGTAATTCAACCTAGGTTAAAATTCTGACCTACAGATTGACTGTATGAACATTTTTGTGGTTTCCTGCTTATGTAACACAAATATTAATCGTTTTTCCTAAGAAAATACACCATAAAAGCATTTCTCCCCTTTGGCAGAGAACCCTACTAGGCTTTAGATACAATTATTGATTATATCTATTTCTGTTACTTGCAATAAAATTTAACCAATCACAGTTATTTATGGGGATAAACTTTAATAGTAAAACATCAGCTCGAATACAATCTATGATGATATTTATACATCATAAGGAATATCAGACAAAATATGTATATATTTAATTAAATCATAAAACAATTATTTCTAAAAAATACTCTTTAAAATCATAAATGTGCACTAAAACACAAATGTTTTCAAAAGACCAACTTGAAATCATACGAAACATTATAACTAGTGACAGAGCATTAAATTAAAATATCAAAATTTTAGAATGACACCAAAATGCTGGTGTCAACTGTCATTTTTTTAACAAAGTACTACAGTCAAAAGTCGTTAATCCGAACTCGTCGGGACTTCGGCGATTCCGAATTATAGATCATCAGTTTAAATCTCGTAAGATGGCATGCAGAAATTATAAAATTAAAAATATGAAGCCGTAATTTATGAAATAAAGAACAATTATGATATAAAGAGTATCAAAATTTAGGAAAAAAAAGCTTAATATTTATTTGTTTACTTCATTAAACATTTCTTTCAATGTAAGTTGTTTAAGTCGCTTCGTTTTATGAGATAATACTTTCTCTTTAATTCTATAAACAGACATAATTTCTTGTTCAGTTACAAAGTTCCGCTGTTCAAGTCCTGTAATTGCTGTGCCGAGAATACCGACTAACTTGTCAAAAGAAATTTTTTCGTTTTCACTAACCTCTCTGTCACCTTCTTCATGTCTTTATCCATTTTTTGCAGCAATTCCCCTTTTTGTTTGATGGACATCGGAACATACTTTCGTTTTGTAGATCCTTTGGAGAGCTCCAGTATCAGAAATTCTATTTGACATAATCGAAAGTTTAAGTTTACTTTTATAAAATTGCTCTTACAGTCTGCAAAAAATAATAAGCCGGAAATAATTCGAAGATTAAGGAACAACGCAATCATCAACATTAACTAAAATAGATAATTTTAGCTTATACCGTCCGTTATACATAAAACGTGCACGCGAAAACGTATTCTGCGCTAGCGCACACACATATGTGAAGTCGTAATGGACTTACGCGCACGCGTAAACGCCTATGCGCATGTGTCAACTCGGTGCATGTGCAGAAAGTTTTTAGCTTTGAGGTCCGGATTATAGATCATTCTGGATTATGGGTGTCCGAATTAACGACTTTTGACTGTATATTGTACTGGATTATATTTACTTATTTAGTAATGATTATTTAACATTGAACTCCTAGGTCATCAGAACATGTGTTTAAAAAAAATTTTCTTTGTGGGATATATTAAAGAACTTGTATTCACACCACACCTAGACATAAGCCAATACTATCTCCAAAAATGCATTATTAGCACCGTGAAGACTGTCATAGCAAATACATTATGTATCAAAAGATTAAGACTTTCAATACACAATATATTCACTATTATATATATATATATATATATATATATAAATCTAAGCAAATACTTGCACACAATTCAACCCTTCAAAACACCTTCATGAAACTAAGCAGAGTTCATATTTTAGCTTAACGAAATAATCTGTAGATAAAACAATGTTCCAGAAAATATAAAAAGAAAACTGAATCTGTTATTTCTGCAATATTTAATTAATTAATTTATTTAGTTTTCATCACGTTTTAATCTTTTATATTAAGAGGAATTTTTAAAATAATAGATAATCCAAGCTAAGCATGGTAGAAGAGCCAGCATACTCTGTGTAGCCAGTCTCTCAATTTAATAGTATAATTTGGAATTATTTGAAGAATTCCAAATCATGCAACAAGATTTTCATACTTCCCAAGCTCATAGCACAGGACAAACACAAAATCATCCAAAAGACTGACAAAGTCATCAAATTCAAATTAAAGATTATTCATCAAATATGTACTATGTATAAGTCAAAATGCACCCTTATGAAAGCCTTTATGATTTGTCACATTTTCAAAAAGCTAGATTGAAACAAGTACCAATCTAAATAAATAAAATATGAAAGGTTTCATATTTTAAATTATATCCAAAGGGGCATTTTTTTAATGTTTTGTGTGTTATCTTTATTTATTAAATATCATGTTCTATGTACTCAAACCATAAAATTCAGTTCAACAGCAATATCACAAAATAATCTTAAAATGAGCATATCCCTTTAGAACAGGATTCATAGCCACATTTTAGTTAAAAAATAAGCACCTATAAGCACTTTTCAAACACATTTTAAGAAAAAAATAAGCACCCGTTTAATTGCATTATACACAACTGCATAACCTTAAAAATTAGACTCGTAATTTAAAATATGAGAAATGCAGTATTTATTAAGAGAGAATAAGCATTACCTCAACCATGGCAAATTACATTTTTTTTTTTTTTAATTTTAAATAACAGTTCAATTTACAGAACTAGTTTACAATGAGAGAAAAAAAAAATACGCAGAACTAAATCATATTACAAGATTTAATGATGAAATTTCAGTTCAAAATAGAGGAAAATAAATAAAAATAAGGCATATTCTATTCTATTTCGCTTGGAACCTTAATAATAAATACAATTTATTTTCCAACTCTTATTAATATTTAACTAAATGACTTAAATCAAAATTCTGAACATTTTCTAAAATTTTCATTGTATAATCAGTTTTCCCTTTAACAGATATTGCAAGGCAAAAGTAATTTAAGTAAAAATAAGTAAAAAAATGAGCTTTTTTGAAATCAGAAGATGGGAAATTTCTTCATTGCAGTCATCCTTTAACAGTAAAAGCTTAACTAACTGGCATACTTGGAAATTTGGCGAATATCTCGAAAATTCCAGATAGTCGAGCGTAACCTTGTAAAAGTGGAAGCGGAGGGGGTTAGACTGTAGCCGTTCTTTAGATTTTTCTGCTAAATAAATGCTTTTGACATTTCAATATGTGCAAGTTCCGTTGGTTTGTTTCATTTAAAAACAAACCAATGGAACAGAAAAATATTCTGCTCTGCAAGCGCGCCATAATTCTTCCCTACATGATATTACGCAATCGGATTCAACAGCTGCAGGTATTGGGAGAATAAAGAACTAAAGAAAGGAAAAGAAAGAGACTTAAAGCGTTATCACATTAGCTGTTTGTTGCCGAAACAAAACGTTTACAGCAACAGTTCTGAGAAACAGCCTTTGGCGAAATAGGGTTACCATCTTCACTTGGTAAACAGGCTGAAAGCCAAACAAGAATCAGTTATTGCTCAGATTGGCGAAAGTGACGTTTCCTTTCAAGTGACATTCGCTTATTCGTGTAGTTTTGTATCGCTCACACGCTTTTCATTTTAAACTTTATTGTTAGTAATGGAAGACAATAGAAAGGTGATTGCTATGAAGTTAATCACTTTGATCTCCACTCTGGCACTTCATGTAACAGATAAACACACTTCTGGTTATAGCAATTAATTACATTATATGTATTTTCTGTTGTCTGCATTTCAATGAAAATTTGATGGCTCATTGGAAAATTTGTGACCTGGTGAAAGCATTTTCTGACTAACTTTATGGCTCATAATTACTGTTCTGTCCATTCAAACAAACAGACAAAAAAAAAAAAAAAAAAAAAAAAAGACTTCTATGACGACAAAAATCTATATGGCTGATATTTACCTCCTCACAGCCAGCAGATACTATTCAGCAAAATGAAGATCAAATAAAGCATATGAATACAAAAAACAATCAAACATGTGCAAGTTGTTTTCTGTCCCATAGAACACTCGGTAATATACCTAAAACACATTAACTGTACCAACTCTAGAAATTAGGTGTTCACATCATGAGTTTGTTTTATGGTTTGGTTTATTGAGATTACAACAAAGCACACTAGAGCTATCTGCCTAAGGGAAGGGATGCCTTTGTGGAGACTTTCTAAGGGAAACTGGCTTGTATACACGTTACACATGGGGAAAACCATGAAAACGCCCATGCAGCCAGCCCGTTCGTGGGATTCGAACCTTGGACCGAACTACCAGTGTTCAGCGACTTTACCGCTCGGCCGCTGGTGGGCTCAGTTTGTTTTATGTGATTACCGCAAAGCCTCAAGGGATAACAACAGGAGAGATCCCTTAGAGAAGTATTTTAGTAGAAGTCCTTAACCCTAGAAGTATCCCTTAGTAGAAGAATTTTTAAAACTGGCTCGTATACCAGTTACAAATGGGGCAAACCAAGGAAACGTCATGTAGCCAGCCCGTTCGCGGCATTCTAACCTTAGACAGAACTACCAGTGTTCAACGACGCTTCGGCCACTAGTAGGCCCGTGCAATTCATTATGTAAACAGATATGAAGGTGATAATCAGTTGTGCACTGTTTTAAGTAATCAAATGTTATAAATGCACAGCTGTTACATTTCTTATTATTTATTAGTCATGTTTTTATTATGTAGATCATACATATGATATAATTATGAATTAACCCAATAACAAAATGTGTACACTCTTTAGTACTCAAATACTCATCAATTATTTTTCAACAGATTATTACATACCCATAATTTGCAAAGAACTGATAACTATAGTTGCTGCCAATTACATAATCGTTATCTGAATTAAAAGCAACTTCAAATAAACTTCTTGGCAATGTTCATTTTTGTATTCGTACATACATATATATATATATACACATCTAATAAGTCATATATTTACATACAGATAGAGAGATGCGATGGTTTAGAAGTTGTTAACATATATTTATTAGTATTAATGTAAAGAATAAGATTTATGTTAATGAATGTATATACAAATGTTTTTCATCATGCATAATAATAAAT